TATTTCTTTACTTGAAGTTCAATTTTCAAAAGTTTATGCTGCAATAGGTCATCATTATTGATAAGACTGGAACTATGAAAACGGAAGCGCGACTTCGGGTAATAACATTAATTAGAATGTATTCTTGAAACGCGCCCCACAAAGCAGATCAGCTAATTGCAGCATAAACTTTTGAAAATTGGACTTTCAAGTAAAGAAATATCCTGGAAATGAACAGTAGCTGTTCTCTGGTAGCCCTTTATTCTTGCGCGTTGCTGTAATAGCAGTTTAGCTTTTACCACATCTATGTTACCACTTGTCTGCTTCTTCTTTGTACGACGATCCTCGCCCTGTTTCAGGATTGGTTTGAATCATCTGACCCTACTGATCTTTATCTTCCTGCACTGGTATTGGCGTCCAAGTTCCTTCATGATTCGGATACCTATGATCGTGCATCCAATGCAGAATGGTCTGAAGCGGCTAACATTTCTACTCAACACCTCAATCAGTTGGAATGGGAATTCGTGCAGAGATTAGTGAGTGTTCCTTTCTTGTGTTAGTCGTTTTTCTTGTACAGTCTGTTGTCTTTCTTTGTCATCACAGCTGTTTTTTTTTCACAGAACTGGAACGTGATGGTTGATCAGGCCGAATTCAATCGCTGGTTAGACTTTTTTGAATATTGGGTCGCAAACGACTTCCTTACGAAGAATGGTTTTTGTACCTACAATGAAATTGCTCAGCTCAGCTCAGGACTGCCTCTTGTGGCTATGATCCAATCACTGGTTTCGTTTTTCAGTTTAATGACTTTACTGTACACATTTTCTGTAGTGTCACTTTTCGCTGTACCATGTTCGTTGTTGCGCGCGGACGTTGCTATTGTCGGGAATTCATCTGGGAGAGTCGCCACTGTTCCACCTTTGGTGTCCGAGAGAGCGGGAATCTCGTTTACCCTTGAAGACAGGCAACAGAGGTACAGGGAGGAAAGCGCCTTAGAGGTAGATCGACTAACTGCAGAGACTTACAGTTGTGAATCAAATTCTAGTACGTTCGCTTGTGAAGCCACTTACAGCCCATTCGCTCGTGAAAATGGGGAATCAAGCTTGCTTTCAGAAATAGACCATTGCATAGACATAATCCACCATTTCACTGATTTCTCACTATACTCGTTGTTGAACAAGGTTTCTTGAAACTGTTCACGTTGATATGCAAGTAAAAGATGTACGTTGTGTCGAGGGTAGGCATTGGACGGATGCTCTTGTTAAGGCTAGTTTTGCTGCAGAAATAAACGTGTGATGTGTTCGTGGACCAACAGCACTAATTGGCGAGGAATAGTGCTGCTTCAAACACTGAGTTGTTAGGTACTTTTATGTCTCGTTATGTCATGCTAGCACTGACCACCACTGTATCTGGAAGCAGGAGTTGAGTGGACTTTCAAATGGACGTAAAATGGAGATGAAGGAGTGGAGCAAGGCAGGCAGATTTATCTCTCCTCATCTAAGGCATACTTGCGACACCAGTGGCCGATCGCCGCGATCGTCGGTACGTGACAGAGTGCGCCTCAACGCGGTTACTTGGTCCGCGGCGCCCTTGGACCGCTCGCATTGATAAATAAGGAAATCCAAGACTGTGTGGGATGTGAGACCTTTTCTCTTGATAATGGCTACTAACTGAAAACTTTTGACTTTCTGTACTTAAGAGGATCTGGAATATGAGGAAGGGGGGGGTTCACCTTTTTTAGGTCGGGATAAGGCAACTTCATTTCCTAGGTGAGCTTCTTTTTGTTTCTTTTGTTTTCATTGTTTCAATATATATGGTGTTTTGAAAGTTTCCTATTGGCTTAACTGTTCCAACTGCCCAAATCTTTATATTCTACAAGTTTAGTTCAAACAACGAAAAAAAGGAACAGAAAGAAACTCACCTAGATAACCAAAACATTCTCAAATTCTCAAAATATTCACATTTTTATTCAAAAACATTCTCAAAATTCTTTCATGCAACATCAGTGAGGAGAATATTTATAACTTCACCAGTCGGATCGCCCGGCTGTCGCCGGGCGCTCCTCCTTCTGTGACATGGCCCGGCGAAGCCGGGCCATGCGGATTTGCCGCGTGCTAAGTTAAGGATCGTTGACCAACACACTGTTCAAAGGAATCTTCTGCATCAGCCAAGAACTGAAAAGCAGCGCTTGTTCCGTCAAGGCGCAGAAGCAGCAGCAGCCCCCCCCCGCATCGCAGCACAGAAGGAGGAAAGCCGGCCTTAGCCAGCGATCCGACTGGTACGTTCATAACCTACACGGAAATAGTGCAGCCTGTTTGGACAGCCACTGAAGCAGCCTATAATTTATGCAATCTGTCTTCCTAAAGCGTCTTGCTTTGGAATGCTCTACCGCATTCAGCAGTGGAACCCTTTAAATGGCCCTCACTGAAGTTGCTGATGGAAGATAATTGTGGTAAGAGTGATAAAGTCAGTTGCTGCTGTTCATAACATCTCTGTAAACAAACCACATGCATTTGGAATAGAGCTGGCTTAGCGGTACACGATGTCGTTACTAATAAGCAGTGAGGAATGAGTTCTGTTGGAATCACTGAGATCGTTATACTTGAGTCATATCGATCGCATTGTTGTTGTGGCGCGGTGGTGAAGCGGATTTTCCCATGCTACCTTGTCAATTTTAGCTCCTATCACTTCCGTACCGCCAATAACACTCCCGTCCCGTATCACTATCATATCACCCTGTATCGCCTCTCGGATCAGAGGTCCCACTGTTGCTGTAACCTGCGTTACGAATCTGATGACCCTCCCCTTCCGAGGCCGCTTACCGTATCTTATCAACTGTTATCACTTTCTGTCGCCCGCCAATAATGTTCCCGTCCCACACCCTATATCACCTCACGGATCTGAGTTCCCACTGTTGCTGTAACCTGCGCCACGAATTTGATGACCCTCCTCTTCCGAGGCCCCTTATCGGATCTTATCAACTGTTATCAGCTTCTGCCAGCCCCACCCTACGGCATATCAGTACTTGAAATCATGGTCCCCCGTTGCTGCAACTTGCCACGAATTCGGTCACCCTCCCCTTCTAAGGCCCCTTATCGAATCTTATCAAGTGTTATCACCTCCTGTCACCCATCAAAAGTGTTCCCGTCCTGCCATGTATATCACTCCTTGAAATCACGGTCCCGCAGCTGCTGCAACTTGCGCTAGATGTTGGTCACCCCCCCTTCTAAGGCCCCTTATCGAATCTTATCAAGTGTCATCACCTCCTGTCACCCATCAAAAGTGTTCCCGTCCTGCCATGTATATCACTTCTTGAAATCACGGTCCTGCAGCTGCTGCAAATTGCGCTACGATTTCGGTCACCCTCCCCTTCTAAGGCCCCTTATCGAATCTTATCAAGTGTCATCACCTCCTGACACCCACCAAAAGTGTTCCCGTCCTGCCATGTATATCACTTCTTGGAACTGTCATCCTATCTTTTCTGCGACGCTCGCTATGAATTTCGTGACACACACACACACACACACACACACACACACACACACACACACACATAGCGGATTATATATAGTAGGATAGTTCAACCTCCGAGAATGAGAAAAAAAAAGAAAACAATAAGGAAACTTAACTCTAGAATGAAGCTTTTCAACTGCTTTTTGCCCATTTTTCATCCTAATGCAGAAAAGAAAAGAGAAGGCTTTCACGCTTTTTGCCCATTTTTACCTATCCTAAATCAGAAAAGAAAAAGAGACAACAAAGCGATTACGGTTGACTCCATCATTCCTTGTGTTAAAACCAAGCTTGGTACCGAGATAAATTACAGCTAAAAAAAGCAGAAATCGAGCCGACTACTAAAAGCACTCGAGAATATAGCACTCCGACAGAAATAGCGTTACGGCGGCAATCTGTGCGTACCGCCGATTGCCACTGCTGTCGCAAAGTATGAACGCTGCCTAACAGTCGTTATGCCAGCATGCATTAAACGGGCGTAGTGGTATATATGCAATGTTCGGCACTTCTTATATGAGCACATGATGGTCTCAAATACAGTTATCACCACTAAATTCTATCGGGGCGTTGTGAAGGAGAAGTGGTTTTGCGCGGCGCCACGCATTTACCCCATCGATCGCTGCGCCTTGGTCGTTCCGTGAGTGATTGACAAGAGGCCCGGTATTACGCCAAAACTAACCCTTCGTTGGACACCATCCTGTCAGATAGCGAAAATGTTGAAGGAACTGTCCGCGATAACCTATAAAAAGGGAAATGTAAACTAAGGGAATTGAGGCGCAAAGTTGCTCCAGTGACCCCTCCTTTTCCAGTGAGTCTGCCTCCAAACCTCCGCTTTCGAAGTCCGCCTCCAGCCAGATATAATGCTACCGGGAAAAGATGCATGAAATGTATGCTGTACTGTCTTGTATGGGGTCTAAGCGTTCGTTAAAAAGAGTTAGCTGACTAGACTCGTCCCACAACGTAGTTCTTTGGCCTTTCAACCGTACATTTGTTTGGGGCTGGAGGGCCCCATCAAAACGTTGCCAACGTTCCCTTTGTCATGTTCTCTTTACAGACAGGCTCACTTGACTACTTCTCTTCCATATTTCAACACCAGCTAATCTCCTTA